ATCACTGAAAAAGGTGTCATCGTCATGCATGGAAGAAGAAAGTGAGTTGTGTTTGAGAGTTGAGAGAGAAAAAGAGCTTTGCTTGAGGCAACGAACGTCGTTTCATGCAAATCGTTTCAATTCACTTTGGCAAGACCAACTCAAAATCGGCAAGGTGTCAACATCAAAATCAAAATCAAAATGACGTCTCAGTTTGCGGCCTCCAAACTCCAGTTTGCGGCCTCCAAACTCCAGTTTGCAGACTCCAAACTCCAGTTTGCAGACTCCAAACTCCAGTTTGCAGACTCCAAACTCCTGTTTGCGGACTCCAAACTCCTGTTTGCGGACTCCATCTGATGGCTTGCCTTTTGCCCTCAGCCCTTCATTCAATTCAATCACATTGGTTCCGGAGTCCCAGGGACGAAAAGCTCTTCATTGTGGACCCAATCAATGGTACAATAAGCCTAACTAACAAGCGAGTTATTATGATCAACATCATCTGCATCGTCAATGCCATCATTTGAGCCTCTGAAAACACGATAGAAAATTTGCGTCCTTCCTTGCTGATAGCCGTTTCGTTTCAAACTGTGGAACGACCGTCGGCAAAGGTACCGTACGAGTGGTTGATTGTCGGAGGCTGCTTCTTGGCTGTCACTCCTCAGTGGCAGAGGCTTTGTGTCATCGTCGTGCCGGGGTGTCCCAACGTAGAACGTGAATGATGTGTTGAACGGAAGAAGAAAGATGTCTTCGAATGGATCGAAACAAGAGGAGCCTGTCATGGTGGAGTAGTAGTAGACGCTGAAAAGAGAAGGTAACATCATCTTGGTACAGTCAAGGTTTTGTCACAAACCAAAAATATCAAGCCATAACGCACTAAAAGCAATCGTCATGAAGTATCCCGTGACGGGAGGTGAGGCATGACCTTTAGAATTAGATAGTTTCGTCTTGTTCTTGCTTGAATACAACTCATCTCATTTATGTGGTTTCCAGCAAAAAGCGGCATTGGCAAAGACACCACTAGCTAGCCAGCATGCATTGGCAAAGACACGATGAAGGTATCTGGCTTGCCCCCGTAGAGAAAGATTTCTGTCAGTCGAGACAGGCTTGAGCAACAAAGGCAAGTTGTCTGGTCCCAGTCTATGACCAAAGCGATTCCGCCCCGTCCGTCTTCAACGACGTGAAGGTGCAAAGAAGCTGCTTTATGGCGCACTTGGACGATTCATGTGAAGCTCTGTGCACCATCCAAGCAAGCGGTAGAACAAAATTTTACTAGCAGACACTCATTTGAGGCATTAGCTACGCACAACAGCTTTTTCAGTGCCGCTGGAGCTACGTGTATGCTTTCCCTTAACCAGCTTTTGTGGGCTAATAGTATCTCCCTCCAGCCACAAGGATCGAACGTTTGAACAGTCCACTTTAGAATATGAGTGAGCACAGGTGCGAAATCATCGTCAACGTCAAACGCCTCCCGAGTCGAGTCGGTGAAATATGTATTTTGTTACTAAATCGGGAGGTACTATTTAAAAGAGATACCCAACTCTTTGCGCTGCATGGGCACACCGAAAAAGGCGAGTCAAGAAATTGCCAAAAAGACAGACACGCATGCATGGCACCACACTACAGAAAACTTCCCCATTTTCTCGTAGACGGTGATCGTTCTGCGTGGTTGTTGTCCGCCCTTTTCGATTTGATTCGATTTCGACCAGGCAGCAACACATTCTCTCTCGCAACCAACCAACAAATGGAACCAGCCAGCCATAGTACCATCCATCATCGACGAAACTGTTATTATTCGTACGGAAAGTAGCATTGGTACGTCTCGGTGGCATCGTTGCATTCTTCACAGAATTCTGAGGGATCGTTACAGTACGTGCACTTTTCCAGTGGGTTGGATTGGAATGGATTGGGAAATTGATTGTTCACAATGCACATTCCTCCATTTCGAGCAATGACCAGAATCAACATGAGCACGACAGAACTCATGACGATATTCATGTATACGGCCAAATGCAGGTACTGCAAGACCCGCTTATCCATGCGCTGTTCTTGTTTTAGGACGTAGTATTTACGCCGTGCCTTGTGGAGTTCCTTGAGGTAGGCGTCTTCGTCTTCCCATGCTTCTTTCTTTTTGGTAGTCTTGGGCATGAGTTTTTTGATTTCAATGGCGCGCATGTTGACTTGTCGAATCTTGACCCGGTACATGGCGAATTCGGATAGTACGGCAAATGTTTCAATGCACCACATGATGAGTGCTTCGAGGTAGGAATCGTCGAAAAAGAGTGCAAATGTGATCAAGAATCCAATGAGAGGATTGACAATATTAAAGGGGAAGCCTCGTCGGAGGACGGGATAGACTTCCAGGAGGATGAGGATGAGATAGAAAATGGTGGCATATCGGATAATGGTGGACCAATTGACACTGAGACCACTGAGGTTCATAATGGGTTGTCCACAACATTCTTGTACACCGGAAAACTGTACCAAGGAGACAATGGCGGCCGTGGCATCGCACAAAAAGGTCCACCATGTAAGACATCGAAGCCATCGTTTGATGGGTGTGGTTTCTTCTCCCTTTTTTTCCAACAAGAGTAGACCACGTCCCAGCGCAATGTACCATGGATCGGGTACGACTTGTTCTTCGGAATCATCGTCCGAGTCTGTTTCGTATTCACTTCCTTCTTCGTCATCTTCTTCAATGGTTTCACCCGGCTCGTAGTTTCCAGCATCGACCTTGTCGATATCGGCACTGTACCATTTGATACTGCGGACCTTTTTCCGAAAGAATCCTTTGGTAACTTGTTCCGTGTGCAATCCTTGTCTAATTTCTTCTTCTGTTTGTGGCATGATGATAGTCTCTTCTTGTCCATCATCAATGTATTGATCGTCTTCCTCGAATTGTTCCATATCTTCTTCGTATTCGTCCCCCTCGGAAAACTCATCGTAATAATCCTCGTTGGACGGGGGTGGTTCCGGCGCCAGTCGTTTGGAATGGCCCGATGAGTGTCCGGAATGGCCCGATTGGCCGGATGCCAAACTCCGTCCGGATCGACTGCGTGCGAGTGCATGTTTGGATTTTTCACTCGACAGTGATCGCATGGACATTTGTTTCTTCATGGGTTGATGTTCGCTATTGGAAGGACTCGTTTTTTTGAGGCGATGACCACTTCCCGTCGACATGCCACTGTGGGATGACAATCCTCGCGAAAGACCGCTTTTTTGTCGATGCCCGCTCATACTACTCATGGTGGAAATGCCTTGTGGTGCCACGGCCAATCCAGGACGGGCCTTTTTTTGCTTGTACGAGATCTTGTGGCCACTGTGATTGGACGATCCACCCATGCCGAGACCGGAACCCACGGAATTGGCCGACTTTAACAAAGATCGCATCGATTGTCCGGCCGATTTGGTCATGCCGGGACGCGTACTGCCGGCTCCAATGGTTGTTTCATTGTCGTCGACCCATTCGTTGCTGCCACCGGATCGAATCGATTTGCCGCCACTCTTGGTCGAGATACCGCTGCGTGTGGACATGCCGCGATTGAGACCCGAACGGGTACTGACAAAACTACTCGATGCCAACGAGTCGGCCGATTTGACGCCGGGACGCTTCTTCTTGCCCATGGTGACAGTGTTGTTGTTGTTGTTTTATTAAAATATGTGTGGAAAGACGGTAGGATAAGATCAAATCAGGTAGACAGATCAGTTAATGATAGGATTGCTTTGGTAGCTATGGGTAGCAGGAACGGTAGCTCGCAGGATGGATAGATAATACCCTTGAAAGGATACTATAGGATACCCTTGATACCCTTGATAGGATAATGCCGTTGTAGCAAAGAGAAGTTTCCTTCTTCAAAGCCGTGTGAAGCTGCTCAGCCGATGGTTCCTTCACCAATCTTCTTGTCTACCGTAGCTAGTCTTCTTTAACCCGACAAACACAGCTCTACTACCGGCAGTAGCCACAGAGAAGCACCTTCGCACAAGCTTGATGCCGTTGATACCGTAGATACCCTTCGTCCACAGCTAGCTGAAGCTGAAGCTGCTGTAGTCTAATAGATACTCCTTGCCTCGGCTGCTACCAGGCTGTGCCAATACTGTCAGGACGTCAGGACAACCACTTTGCTGGGTTGGGTGCAGGCTCCCTTGGAGCTTTACGCCCTTCTCTACGGGGCTGCACTACGAAAAGGTGCTTTTCAAGCAATGACTTTAGTGTCGCGGTCATCTCGTTGGGAGCTAGCTAGTTCCTTGTCAGCTACATGAATGGCGGGCTCGAGCTATCTCTATGTGACCGTCTCATTTTTTTGTGCGTCCAACGCTTTCAAGGGACTCAATGGCCCTTTCTCTTGCCTTACTTTAAGCCTTCATAGATCAGTCATTCATTTCATAACCCTTGATTGGTCTTAGTCATATATTGCTATGACAGTGTCTGCTTGTTCTGCACTCGGAACTATTCTTTGTATGTGCAAACAAACAATCCCGCCAGCAACCAACCCACCGGTACAGAGAGCACAACCTTGTAGTAAGTTTGTTGTTGTTGTTCCTGTTGTTGTTCTTGTTGTTCGTAGCTATCTCAGTTTGGGTCATCGGACCTATCCATGGTCCCATACCTCCTTCAAAGACCAAATAATCCAACACCACATCCATCTCCTCGTTCTTAATAATCCCTCCGGGGACTTTGTACTTCCTAAGTTAACCTCGTTCTACAAGTGCATATCCGGTTCGGCCAGGTTGTGCACAAAAAGTTCCTTCTCCTCGTATTCAGTTATCTACTAGCTAGCTAGCTAGCTAGGGACCTCCATGCAAAGAATTTTGGAGGAGCTAGCTTGGATTCAGATACCGGTAGATTTGCAGCCAACAGACAGGTATCGGTACTGCCGCGACGTTGTGCGGGTGATTCGTGGATGTCTTGGCGGCAATCATCTGTGGCTTGACTGGCGGACTCGCAGGATTCAATTTTGATACCACTACGATGCCTGTGCTGCAAATAAATGTTCTCATCATCTGCTGTTCATTCTGGTTGAGTTTACCATAGACTATCAATCTTGTTCTTGCTCTTGCAAACTCGGCTGCCAGATATGATGGTGGTCCTTCTGGCGGTGACTGATCAAATGCATGGTGTGGGTTTGCTTTTGATGTGTGACAGCCAGCAATTCTCATCAGAGAGCGAATCATGCAAATTTCGCTTAGCGTTGAAGAGGAAGACAAAAGAACTTCTTTCTCTTCGTCGACGAGAGCCCCGTGCAAAGCAAAACAGCACAGTGCTGACCTTAAGAAGTCTGCTATGTCTTAACTGATTGCTCGTTTGCTCGTTTGCTTGCTGTACCCGAAGTCCATGGCTGGCCGTCAGCAAAGAAAAAGAATAGCCTCCTCGATCGATACGATACCATTGCTGCCTTCCAGATAGCCCACAGCAACGGTACAGTACTACGCACGCATCCCAGAGCAAAGTTGTCTTGAGCTGCAGTCAGGATTCGTTGGCTTGCTGGCTACACGAGTCGTCAAAAGATAAACTGAAGACTGCTTCCAACAAATGACTGCTTTCGCGTGTTCGCTCTACCGGCCTTGGGGATCTTTTTGGATGGCTGTGGGGTTATGAATGGTGGTACTTCACGTGCTCCGTGGACCGAAAGCGGCAGCAGAAGAGACATTATCAATTCCAGCAAAACGCGAGAGTGCTAATAAATACTGTAATACTGTCTGGCTGACAGAGACAACACACCTTGCAACAACAGTCCCTGGACCGAAAGCAATGGGTGCAGAATAGACAATACAGAGCCACAAGATCGCTAGAACATGTTTCGCTTTTGGATACTGCCTGCTTGGTTGCTTGGTTGCCAAAGTAGCGAAAACGAAGCCCATGATGAGAGATTCACCTAGCAGACAAAAAGTGTCAAAAACGATTGCTCGGCTCGATCTCGTGGACCTCGATCCTTCTCATCAGACAAAAAGTAAGTGTCAAAAAGCATTGCTCCGGTCATGCTAGCATTCTCCTCCCTCCTGTGGTTCGGCTCGATCTCGTGGACCTCGATCCTTCTCACCGGCTTACGTTGGGGCAGATTAGGTGATAAGAAGGGAACAACCTTTATGGAACATCCACAGCCATCCAATCGCACTTTTAGCGCCTCCAATTCGAACGCTGATTTATTGTTGCAACTCCTTTCCCAAGAGACGTCATTCCAAAAACGAATTAAAGAGCCCTGTGTTCGTGTCCGTGTGCTTCTTTGTGGCAAGCAAAGAGGCAAACTGAGTGAGCACCCACGAGTGGCAAACACGAAGCGAAAATTCTGCATTGCATCCAAACAGTGAAAAGCCACAGACGAGAAGACTGGATGGAGACCAAACTGCCATAGTCTGCCACCATTAATGCAATAGCTCTAGTTGTTACTCAGAGTAGAGATTATCAGACTACGATTAACATGGTTGCCTACAACTCGTACCGGTACACGCACCGAGGCGGTGGTCACTGGCCAATTGGCAGGAGCCAACATGCAACCAATCTAACATCTAAGCGTGCTCTAACTAGAAGGATAACGTGGAGCTACCGTAATACTGTATCAGATAGTCTAAGAAATGCTCTTAGTTTGCTTTAGTAGCCGCAGAAGAACCCCGTCCCGGATGATCCAAAGTCTCAGATGTCATGGCAAAAATGGTATTGGCAGTGTGGTGTCTGATGAATAATCAGCAAGAGAGTCCGTCCAGCCTCCATGGCACTTAGCTAGTGTCTTCTGATGGAAGAATCTGAGTCTGAAGGGCTCGATTAGATGGAAGTTAAGAGGTGCAGAATCATGCGGCAATGGCCCAAGTAGGATAGTTCGGAATCCCTCTTTGTGGGATTTCGGGTGGCAGTTGGGACTTTTCTGGTCCATGAACCCCGGAAGCTTCTTCCCATCGTCGGAGGATATCATTTTCATTGCTTTCCGATCTTCTGGGCTGGTGGAGGGTATCACTTCTTCTGGGCTGGGACCCTTCTTCTGCTTGCCAACGAGAGCGAGAAGGGCGCTTGCTTTTCTTCACGCAAGAGAAGGATGCCCCAGCGGCATTGTCAGCAACGATATCCATGGAGGACGCAGAATTGTTCTGCAGTAGGGTAGATAAGAACGTTTGTTGTGCGGAGAAAGCCATGTTGATGGTTGTGGTGTGGATAGAAAAATTTGAAAGTATGAGAGTTGTCGGAATAGTTTTGTGAGCTTGGAGGGAACCAGAGCCGCAAAGCTGAAAAGCTGGATCGCAGTTCGCAAAGAACTGAGAAATTCGGCTGAATTGAAAGAACTCCTCTGGTGTTTTAAGGGCTATGTCTCCCTTGTTCTTCGCTTTCCAACTCTTATGAGGTTATTGGCAAAAGGTGAAGCCGAAGAATCATGGTTAAGTCATTTAGTACTACCCAGGCACTTAGGTACTTATTGTTAAGACACCAAACTTCAACAAGGGTTAATTGGCAGCGCTGCTTTACACTGTTCATTCATCATGATGTGCCGCTGGGTGCTGGGTCCTGCTGGCTAGCTAGAGCACTCTCAGTCTCTCAGTAGTTAGTCCAAGCAGACATTGCCAAGAACCACCAAGCGAAGGGTCAACCAAAGAGCTCTCAAAGCCAAAAGAGGAAAAGAAGGTGGAACTGCCTCCAGCATCCGGCTTCTTTGACCCACCCAAGCTCCTGTCACGCACCCCATCAGTCCCACCGCCAAGTACTTACTTGTACTGAGCAGTGATTGATCATTCAGAATGTAGAATACAGCTCTTGTACAACAGAATTTCATTGCCACCCAGCTCTTTCTCGTTCCACCGAAGCCGACAGAGAGTCTGTTGCTTGCTGGCTTGGACGCTTGGCAGGAGGTTCGAGGTGCTGATGGTGGTCAGCGGGTCCCCATGTCGACAAATAATAGCAAACGCACTTGCCTTCCTCGGACGTCTAGCTAGTATATGTTGTCATTCCACGAATCCATCAGATAGAAGACATGGGGATTCTTTGCCAGTCCTCCCACTGGTTGCTTGTGAACAGATTGGTGGTAAAACGAACATGTTTGAGGGAAGGCGGCAAAGGTCTACAGTGGTCCCTTCCTTCCTCTCGTACAGCATGTCTGATTGATGTTGTTGATGGGAAGGGCAACTGCATTCTTAGATCCATGTTCGCCCATTTCAGCCAGAAGTTGCTTTAGTACATGTAGTAGCAAACACTCAAAGGAAGACTGGTTCCTACTTCTGACTCTTTACATTTATAGTTCTTGCAGATGATGGTGCGGAGTCATCAGAGAACCCTCACTCAACTCTGATACCTGTGGCCGCCGACACAGATCGCTCCGCTCCTATGGTCATGTGAATCCACCCCCATCCACTTGGCTGCTTTCTTCTATGCGTTGTGCCTGGTGGCTTTGATAGAACGCCACACCGGTGGCAATGGCAGAGCTGATGGGTTGTTTTGCAATTTCTCTTGAATATGATGCGGGTATTCCCTTTGTAAACCTGTCTGTGTAGTATTATAAACATGGAGCAATCGATACCGGTGACGTAGCTATCTTAGTGACGACCACACATCTACCCTGGGAGATCCTCAGATGGCATCAAAGAGTCCTGCCATGGCACTCTGTTCCATTCTGAACTGCTACTACCCAGTTGGCATCAACCATCCAGGCTGCGTGAAGCGCGCTCCCGTGGACGCAATCGTTTTCGTACCACGAGCACATGTACGGGCTAGGCAATCTTCCCAAGTAAAGTTGATACTAGTAAATTCATTGAATGATTCCAAGACTTTGGTGGCTGTTTAGTTAACTCTTCTCATCAAAGTCTACAACCATGGTGCTTGAAGCACGAGGCGCTTTGAATATTTGGTCGACCCAATTGATAGAGAGAGCAATAACACACAAGAAACATCCGACAAGGAAGGCCCGCTGGCTGGCTTCGGGATTGAAAGTCTTTTGGGTATATACTCTCCGGTTCATCGGAAGCGCCACAATTTGCAATGGGCCCGGTGAATAGTGAATTACGAGTGCCCCTGTCGTTGACGGCTTTGGGTAAAGGAAAAGAGTTGCGTTCTCCCCAAACTGTCATTGAGAGATTGCTGGTGTTGGCATGTTTTTCGCAGTGTGCTAACTCTGTCGGTGCCCAGGCAAGCTATACGAGGTACAAGGCTAAATGAGAAAGTAAGGCACTTGTTCAGGCTGCTGGATTGTTGCGATCTTTTGCTCTCTGCCTTTTAAAAGTTTGCTCTTGTGGCTTATCTTTCTTAACGCTTCCATTTCTTCTTTTGGCTGATTGCCGCTCCTATTAGCATATGATTGTTCTGCATCACAGTAGATCCCACAGAAGCTTGAGAAATGATTCCCACAGTAGACCCCACAGTAGCTTGAGAAATAATGCCTAACTACCTACAAGTCGACTGGTACCTACCCTGAATTCTCTCCTAACAACCCCAAGGACAAGAGATTGGTGAAGCATAGTGTGGTGTGTGGTGTTGGTCCCAATTGGCTGTGCTTCGTCTGTGACTGACTGGCTCTCACTCTGCAAAGGATTTCCTTCAGGGGTAACTCTAACGTTAACATATCCTGGATTTTGACAACAATTCTTTTTGTGACACGGCTCGAGGTGCGGGTTCAAGCCGCACCAGCGCCCGCCACGACGCATTTCTGCTATGGTGCCGGTGATTTTAACTGTCCCGTTCCTTCTGCACAGGTCTCCAACCTCTTGGAGATAGTGGATAAACAGAGCTCGCTGGGCTACAAAAGCTCGTGAGAGGTTGAGAGCTCACATCATGTCCTCGCAACAGTCACCAGTCACATTCAGGCGCCCCGACGAAGCAAGAAGAATGTTCGCTCTGTGTGGTTCATTGCTGGAGCCAGAACTGCCCCAAGATCGTCCCTGTGTGTTTATGCTCAGACCTGTGTCCTCAACTGCCTGCAATGCCTACCCAGACAGGAAGCAAGGCTCCTCTCTAGCTAGCGTGACTGCTTCGGATCATGGGTGTTCGTACCGGTAGCTAGCTCCGTGCGCGGCTAAAGCTCCGACTACAAAAACTAAGGTAATAGACAGCGCGGATTCTTTGCAAAAGGTAGAATACCGTAATCGTTACACTATCTAGCTATGGTTCATGCAAAGGAAATCATACCACAACTACTTCCTGTTGTGGGTACCCCGTATTGTGTTCCTGTGTGTGTTCTTCAGCAGGTTGTGCTACACTTGCTTCCACTGTCAATAGGATGCCACTGGGAGAACCATGCAAGGGTTTTCGGTAACTCTTCTTTTTCTCTCCTCTACATGCCTTTGTGGCCTTGTTGGAGGTGAAGTCTTGTCAGTCTCGTTGGTTTGGTAGCCTTGTTGATCCCCAGTCGTAGTCTTCTTGGGGGATTCTTCCCACCGTGTTTCGGCCTTCCTGGAGGGCTTGCGAGTAGGGGGTGATGGAGGGCATGCTGGTTTGGATTTACTGTCAAAAGCACACGAAGAGGAACAATGCCAGCGATTCCGTCTTCTTCTGCGATGCCCTCCCGTGCAACCACTTCCGCCGCTTGCATCATTGTCATTGTGATACCTCGTCTCATCCGACATCAAGGCAGCTGGTGTGCGCCCGCACCGAGCATTGTCTACGACTAGCACGGGTGAGACGACGGCAGAGGATTCCATGGAAGCATCCATCAGCAAATCCGCCAAGAAAGTCTGCATTGGAGAGATAGCGCCATGTTTGGGGATGCACATTGCTAGCTATTACTGTTGTGGGCCTCGCTTAGCCTAACCGGTACCGTAGATACACAGACCAAAGAAATAATGAGCTCTTGGGAAATTAAAAAGTGATCAAACAGAGTTGCACAGCAGGAGTGTTGGTGGTGGGTGAGTGGCCAAAACGTTCAATCCAGACTACCAGGGTATCGGTACCACTAGAAAAATGTTCAGACTTCTACTTTCTGTTCCAGAAGCTCGATTGAGGAAGAAATCCAAGAAGTCACGGTTAGTCGAGTACCGAAAGACTGGTAGCTATCGGAAGTAGAAGCCATCCATGACTGTATGATACTGCCCCTTGAGTCGCATTCCTTAAGGGTCAGTTCCTTGATAAAATTTGCGTTCGCTTGTGTCAACCTTGCTCGTTATGTAATTCTAGCCAGAATAGCTCAAAATGCGAAGAGTTGTGATGACATGGCCAGAGCGGGCTGTTCATACTTATTCTTTGTCTCGAACGTCACTATCGTCTATTTAAACATGAGAGCAGCTATGGACAGTTTGAGATATTGAGAGGCTTTATTTCAGTGGAAGAAGGCTTTCTAGAGACACAATCAGTCATCAGATGCCCGACAGGCCCCAAGGATCTGCGTGGCGCCCGCTATTGCCTTCATCACTCTTGTGCGGAAGCTTGTGTACATGTAGCTTGCGTAGCTTGCGATCTTGGTTGGTTGGTTTATACCGGCAGCGTCCAATTGCCTATTTTATTTGAGGTTGCTGCGATCAGATCTGTGAATGCCCTACATGACTTTACAATGTACTTCGTGTACTATTGTTATGTGCTGAGAAGACTGGCAAAGAGAGCAAGTAAGATAGCTGTAAAATAAGGAGGACCAAGCAGGAAGAAGGCTCAGGATCAATTCCAAATCACTTGAATGGAAAGATTGGGGATTGGGGGCACTTATACTTTATGGAAGATTGGCGTTGGGGACACTGAAGTCACTTGAGACGGCAGAGGCGGCGATCTTGTGTCTGCAACGAATTGAGAATAGTACTGTCATTCAGGTCGAAGACAGGAAAGCCGTGAAACAGACAACTATCAAGAAACTAATGTACCAGGTACTTGTAGTACCAGTAGCTACATGGTCAACCTGTAGAGGGACTTTCTTCCACACTGGCTTCTTGGGATATCGCTGGCTTATCTTGTCCTTTTCTCCGTGTTTGCGGGGAATCCTTGTTGCTCAAGCAGCCAGCAGTCAGGAATTGCAAAGGACTGAACCCGAACTTTGCGAGATACTGACATGGATTAGTAGACTAGGACTAGACTTACTGTCTCTTGCAGTACAGTACTGATTGCTTTTGTTGGGTATTCGAATGATCCTTGCTTGCTTCTTCAGGCGCTATGCTACACCAGCCAAGAAGTACTGGTACTAGCCAGCTAGTTGTGGAGCGAAAGTGTGGTTGTATCGTTCTTTGATAGTTATGTATTATTAGCATTAGTATTACAGCCGTTTGCAGTCACTGCAAGATTGCGCTCTTGCTGCTTGCGCTGCCGACTTTTGGCCCTTTCCCTAGTATACCCCAAGCTTCCCAGTTTCCCATGCAGATACCCATCTTTTCACTTAAGCTGCCGATGCAATGTGCAATGCAACAACACTTTTGGATGCTCTGGTCGGTGAAAGCGATGATGCGATAAGGAGTGTCTTCAAAGCCTGAGGAGACATGTTGGTGGCAGCTAGAAGGGTTGTTTGACCACGCTTGGGTGATGTTGGTGCTGGAATACTGTGCCTGCGAGGACGAATTGGTGCGTCCCGGTTGGATTGATCCTGAGGCGACGATTCTTGCTCTTCCCATCGTGAAGGTTCCTTTACCGTTTTGCGTCTTCGGCGAGGAGGAGAGGGAGGAAGAGTGCTCTTCTTGGTCGTGGTTTTCTTTACCTCGGATGTTTGCCACCTTGTCGTTGCCAAGGGGCGACGGGACGAGCTGCAGTCTAGTTGAGGAACTGCTCTGGGTTGTTCGTGGCCACGAAGGTTATCATCTTCGATGGTGACTTCCATGTTGGGTGGCAACATGTTGGCGAAGAAGTTGTGCATAGCCATGATGAAAGATATTCTTTTTGTGGAATGGAGAATACAAAATTGTGAGCTTTTCGTTGGGTTTTTGGGTAGCTCTGGATCTTGCGATTTGGAGAGGAGAGTTCGTGTTGGTACCAACTCGCACCAACTAACTACACGCCTCAGCCTTCCTTGTTTTTGTCACGGTACTCAGATTCTGCGTGAGGGCAATTAACATACCGTCCTCATGCTCACATACGGACACTTCACAAAGAAGAAAATTAATGCCAGTCATGGGAACTTAAGCTGAATTCTATGCTATTGTACTCATGAGATCAGACGATCAGACAGCTGATCGAACACCGACTGCTCTAGTATTGCCTTTTTAGGTCATCAAGGCCATCGAGAACCACATCCTTTGGCAAAATCCGAATTCAAAAATTAGATGGTAGGAATTGCCCATTGGAACGAGCGTTCTTCAAAAGGAATGACGAAGACCACACTTTTATCATCATTAAGTCATATCCTATGGCATTCTTAACAACTACTCTGCACCTAAGACCCACCAAGTCATGCATTGAGTCGCAAAAAGTCTGTGCCTTCGTCAAAATTGTCAAAATCCGAACTCAAAAAATCAGGGGGAAATTGATCTTGGGAACAAGCGTTCTTCAAACGAAATGAGGGGTTCCACGTTAATTAGATCACACATTTTTAACAGCTTTTCACCCTAAGACCCAAAGTCATGATAAGATCGCGAAAGTCATGTTGGAAACAGATACTTATCGCTTGCGACTCCACAAGAGTGTTTTCATGGGTGGAGAACCGTGCCAGTGTGCCAGTGCCTTCTTTGCATAGATTCAGAGTGATCTCTTTAGCTTCGGCTTCCTGCCATCTTCACTTCCATAATAGACTCTTCCATCGAAAGAGGATCACACCGGAACTGGTACATCGTACCAGCGCACTGGTAAGCAGGAGGATACGATATCCAGGCCTTCGTGTACCCTTTAGCCCTCGAGGCTTCAGGCATCTTTCAATTCACTCTTCGCAGCTTTTGTGGTTCACTCCTTCCTCTGCCCCAAGACCTTCTTTGGGGCCATGTATGGTCCGGATGAAGAAGTGTCCACCGATAAGCATCACAAACAACAATAAGAGATTGGACTGAGGATCTGTTGGACAGGCTTCGGTTGGCTTCCTGCCAATAGCAGAACCACCTGCACCCTGCAACGGAGTGAAGGACGCTATAAGTACTAGAAAGAGATGGTTCAGGCCACAGTTCGATTGTGAAAAAACTTTTCTACCCCATTAAAAAGATTCGGTATTGGGTGCTAGCTAGTAGCTATTGTGTCGGTGCTAGTAGTCTAGAAGGAAGAGACGACAGATGGTGTGAACTGTGAAAGGAATGTAGTTCTTTGGAAGTTAAGAAAGATTAGATGATAGATGATACAACAATAGAGATGATTGATAGAATGCTGGGCCGGCGCTCAAAACATGCTGTGCATTGGCCCTGGGAGAGACTTGCAGCCACTCCTCCAGAGACAAGACGAACAGCAAAGCAGCCAGGCATCGCACTGGTGCACGGACGGGGAAGCCACAAAGAGAGACTGAGACATGGGAGTTATAGATGGCAGATAATTCTTTTGGAGGCCCCCAAAGATTCGATTTGCCGTCGACCACGGGAGGGTCCACATGCATGTAGTCTTGCCAGACCGCCGGGGTTTTGCGAAAGGAAGAACGGCAATCGAGATGGAGGTCGGAGGATGGAGGATGGCGTCTGACGACTACGAACTCGGAGAAATTGACATCTGGCTGGTCTTCTTGGAACATCTTTTCGTATTGGGTTTCGCTGTTTTAGGCGCTCCTTTGTTGGTTGGGAGGGATCTTGTTCGTTTCTTCGTCTTGGGGCTCGTCGACTTGTTTGGCGTTGGCTTGGTCGACGACTTCTGTTGTGGCTCGGGAGCCCTTGCAACATGGCTGTCATCCGTCTTCATGCGACGGGCGGGTGCTGGGACTTGACGAATCACGCGACGATAGGATACCGGTGAGTGGTAGCCGTCGTGAGGATGCACCGTCAACAGGGGTGGGCAAGGAGGGACGTCCAAACTCATCATCATCATGTCGCCATGATCCATCGATTCCGGGTGCAAGACCTTGGTTCGGCGGTATGGAGAGGCAAATGCATCAGGTGTGACAATTGGTTTGGGTGAAGTAGGTGACCAGTAGTCCATCGAAAGGGAAGCATACGGCAGGGACGTTCGACGGGCGTAATACAGTTCCGACGACTGGTAATCGGGTCTCGTGCTCGTGGGCATCTTAGGTGACGACATGTGGATCACCCTCCTTGGGGCGACTAGAGGAGACGAAGGCGACATGTGATCGTCGTGGTCCGGAATAGCCAACTCATAGGGATCGTCGTATCCCGCATACCTGGCGCAAGGCGCGACCACGTCCATTTCTGGTGACAAAAGCATGGGCCGATGGGCCATCGAGACAAAACGACGAGGACCACGACCCCCGTTTGGTGGGAGCGACCGAGTGTCCAATGTCACAAAGGAAGGAGGAGGGATCTGTTTCTTCAATTTGGTGCTGTTGTTGCTCGGGAGGCAGTGTTCACCCGAGTGATCGTCATGGTCTTCATCAAGATCGTCATGTAGCTGGAGAGTCTCCTCTGGTGGTGACATGACTTTAACACGACGAGGAGCAACGCTCTTGGGGGAGTCATACAAATGATGATCTTCTTCTTCGTGGTTGCTGTGAGCCGCGCTGAGGAGGTCATCGTCGTCGTGACCCTTTGCCAACGACGACAAGACATCATCGTGATGCCTCGAGGGGACGTATTGAAACGAGTTCTCCAACGAAGGATCCAAAGGTTCGTGAAGGGATGCTAGAGACATTTCCTCGTTGTCGCCTTGCCTGATGCGACTTTTTGTTGTCGTCATCGGTGTCACCACAGATGCGGCCGGCTTTTCACCTGGTGGATCCGCGGCCTTTTGTGGCTTGTTTCGAAGCATGGGATGACTCTTGTTGTTGTTCTTGTTGGCCTGCAGAGAGTGAGGACTTGGTGTCATACTCGCCATGATGACCTTGAAGACTTCTTTTCTCTTGGCATCTTCACGCTCCTTCTCGGAAGCATTCATTGCTGGTGTGGGCTTGGTTTTCTTGACCTTGTTTTCGCTTCTGGACGTGCTGGCTCTCTTTCTCTTCTTGACGACCTTGGGCTTGCTGCTGTCTCGTTTCTTGGCTGTTGGAGTACTCATCATGATTGGACTCGACGACGACTTGACATTTTCCACAGCAGCCAAAGGTTGTTCCAGAGCAGCGGATGGTGGTTTGTCGACAGTGTCTGGCTTGTCAGGAATCGATGCTTCTGATGGCTTTTCAGCCGCCAATAAGGGCTCTTCGGCTTGGAAAGGAACGGGTGGCTCGACAGAGAGTTCCTCGGATCGAGACGGAGGATCTTGCACCAAGTCATCTTGCCACATGGAATCCGTGAGCAACTTGGGCAACATGGGAGAACCCACACAAGAAGGAAGGGCAGTCACCGGTGCAACCACGCGTTGTGGACTGGAAGGTGCCGTGATAGGAGTTGGTTCGGGAGTCACAGCAGCCGCCACTGTTTCTTGCTGATGAGTGGGGGTAGGTGCTGTCGTGACTCGCTTCTTGAGGGGCTTCATCATGGCAACAGAGGCTGCCGCCATTTTGCGTTTCTTGGGTGCCGGAGGACGTCGGGTTCCCATATGATTGAGAAAGAGACAGTTGGGACGCTTGCGGCGACGCAGGGGAGGGAGGCTCTTGGGCAAGTGCATGTAAGGTCGTAGACGCTGTTCCAATTTCGCCAAGAGTTGTGCCTGAGTGAGCTGGGCCAATTGTGCTCGCTTACGTTCCAGGGCATGTGCCACAATGACATGGGCCGAGAATCGTACGGATTCGGGCTCTTCCTGATCATCGCGACGGACCAACTTGGGGGCTTCGGTTGGGGAATCTGTAGGAGTAGATGACAAGATTGCGTCATCCGAAGTGGGGGCTTGCGGGACTTGTACCTTCTGCAGCTCCTCGTCTCGAGCGGCCTCTTCGGCCGCCAATTCGAGGAGGAATGGATCTTCTTCTTCAGTGGGTAGAATAATGTCGCTGAAGGCAATGGTGGAGTCATCATCGTCGTGGCTAGTAGCCCCAATAAAGAGACCATCATCTTCGTCGTCACCTCCTTCCACCAAGTGGATCTCTTCGTCTTCCGTGTCTTCCGAAGTGGTGTTGGTGGGGGACCAGCCGTCGCCGCGAGCATAGCTGTCATCTCGTACCAATCCTGGTGGATCTTTCAGAGGCTGATGATGAGAATCCCACTGCTGGAGATTTTCCTCGGTCAAAGTTTCCTGAGGAATCATGATTGCTACTTCAATAAGGTTGCTGTTGCTTGTGTGCTTGGTCTGAAAGACGAATTGAATTGTGAGAGGCTTTCAGCAACCAAGGAACAAGAGTAAAGGTTTGGTGGAGGAAGGGATGAAGGTTCCAGAGTAGTAACAGCTCCCAATGGATCAATCCACAGTTGCACAGTGGCCAATGATGAAGGCGAAGGTCGACGCAAGCAAGCAACACAGGAAGGAGAGGAAAGGATACCAAACAGTATCCAACCAGCGAACGAAAGATCCTCTGTCTGTGGTTTACAGGAGCCAACAAGTCAAGCAAACAAACCAACAAGCCTTGATGATGTTGATGCTGCGTTCATTCCGGATGGCACACTGGGCAAAAAAGTGCGATCGAGGCATCCTCAAAAGGTTTGGATATCCAAATTGGATCCTCATTTTTGTTGCCCAGCAGCCGTATACTCTACCTTTCTCCGGTACTACAAGCCCTCCACCATTTCGAGTTTTTACACATGGGCTCCTACCGACTCCACGCAATGCCCTACAGGTATCACTCAGGAGGTCGAGGTTGGGCGCAATTTAGATTTGTTCTGGCTATCCGAAGAGAGCGAAAAAAGTGAGACGGTGCAGCCAAAGGGTGGGAGGATTTGGGCCACCTACTGATTTACTATAGGACAGAAGGGGGCATTGGCCATTAATTACCATACTCACAAGTATGAGGTGTAAATACTTGTCACCCCTCGCTGGTTATTCCCCAGCTTTAGACGAGAAAGGGGAAGAACTAATTGCGCCTCTGGCTTCTGGCTATCCCAACCACTCTTCAAAAGTCAATTGTTGCAGTCTTGCTGCCCTGACTGATGAGAAAGGACGACACTGGCTTCCTACTAAAGCAACCCCATAGGAACACTATTTTCGGGCATTCGTCATCCGACCCTGCCAATCTCATCGTCCTCTCATTTTTACAGCACCAGCCATTTCGGATAACTCAACCCAGGTGTCACTCCACTGAGTAGGCCTTTGGCGTCTACCAATAGCACTCCAAATCAAGTATCGAGCATTGGCATTGGGCTGGATTGCGGCCTAACTAAGTACGTGCGAATGACAAAGCAACATGGTAGAGGTATACCGTATACTGGAGCTACTACGAAGCAGCCAATCTTCTTCGGAGCCAGCCATGCATCGATCCTCCAATCATGCATGAAACCATGCGTCACTCGCTTCTTGAAGATAGTATGCTTCTATGTCTATAGTAGAGCTACCAACTCCATCCATGGTTCTGGATGAGGAATAAAACCCGCCCTAGTACATTCGGCTATTTACACGAGGGATTACGCACTCCTACCGTACTACAGTATGCGTAGTAGGCAGCTAGCAAGCAATGCGCCATACCCCCACTAACAGTCAGCCAGCCAAAAAGCAGGCCAAGTAAACAGGTAGGGCTTCCCATGAACAAGTTGACCACTGGCGTTGCTGCCACGACACGGCCATAGTGTACCACCAGCCGGGGGCCAACACCCACACGAGGAGCAAACCATTGTCTCGCTCCGACAGCCAGAGGTCGAGAGGATGAAAAAGCTCTTGCCAACTACGGTTCATACCAACTAACTATTAGTACCACTAACTACCGACCACCAGTTCGCTCATTGGGTTCTAGCTTCTTCCCCTCCGCTTCTTCGCTACTTTGCTTGCTGGACAATAATAATGCCTGTAAATTTTCGGATGGTTGACTTTGCTGTGTGCTGCTGCAGGAGAATGGCTGCCGTGGCAGCCAAGTCAATTCAATTCAATTCAATTCGATTCACGCAAAAGAAGCTCGAGGACCGGTTGACTCGGAGCAGTTCCCAAGGCTGTCAAAACATAGATACATCTAGCTACATACAGAGGGATAGAGGAAATCTAAGGAAAGCTTGCTACTAGCAAGGATCAATAAGCAAGCAGCTCGTGTGTCTGTACCAAAATACTTAGTTTGGTTTTTTAAAAGGCTAGTATTTCGCTGGGGCTGCAGTAGTGGACCCGAGGGGAATGAAAAGAAGCACGTCAGACCTGGTGGAACCAAATAAACAAGGAATCCAAGGAAGGCGTCGCACCATGCACAGTGACTCTCCAAAAGCAACCGAGTACAACCGCCAGAAGTGACCCAATTGGCTAGCTTGCTCTGCTAGCAAGACTGTTCGATTGCTTCATGCTAGCCCCAGGGCGCAGTCCTTTGACGGTCCCTTACAAAAGAAGAAAGGCGAATCAACTTGACATAGGTACTGCTGTTGCGTTAGGAGGAAGCAGTCGGGAATAGCTGCTTGCATTGGTGAGTGCTGTCCATGCCAAGACGGAAAAGATGCGGTGTCTTTTTGGATTGCTTGGATTGGATCTTTTTCTCGATTTTTCTCTTGGCTCTTGAATTTTGTGAGCAATCGCCGGCGTGGTAGGATGCTGGCGTCAATTAGGTTGAGCCATGTGTCGTTGGATTGGCTGGCGTGATGGAAAAGGCTTCGCTTCATGTGGGCGGTGGAGCCATCAACAACAGTGAGAGCGAAAGATCCAAGTCATCTTCATTGTCATCGTCGTCGTCCTCATCAGACAACATAGCCGTCGCATAGAGAGTTTCGCAGTAGACTAGCTAATCACAAGGAGAAGAGCAACAAGAGGCGTCGGTTGTGGTTGTATCTTGGAGATCTATAGCCAGCAAGCCAGGTGGAAGGTGCAGGTCTGGCATAGCGTGCACGTCTCGTCGCACCACAGCAACGACAGTCGCGAGAGAAGCCCAAGAAGATCCATTCGATCCATAATTTTGTGAGAAGCACCGTGTTGGTTGTCATCCTTCTTCCTCTTTGAAACAGAAGCTACTGGTTTGTTACGGTTTAGCTGCGTTTGCAAGACCACAAACAACACCATCGACAGACAGTCCACGAATCAAGAGTGTCCACTTTACTTCACTTGCTCCATTCATTGCTTACTAGCTAGCCAGTCAAGACGATGCCTCCTTCCAACCGCAAGCGCAAAGTCGGCGACGACAAGGAGAGCAGTACCGCTAGTAGTAGCAGCAGCAAGCCTCGGAAGAAGGAGACGCAACGAACGATTCAAAAGGCTCGCGTGTATTTTCGCGCTGGTTTCATTTCCCAAAATCCTGGCAAGGAAGAAGACTTTGACGAAGCCTGGAACAATTGGATGGCCACCAAAGGAGATCAACCAGCTGATGAATTCCCGGGAGTTCCTGGATATGGTAGTCGACAACCCGCTTCCAAAAAACGCAAAACTAGCACTACTGCTGCTAGTGCCAAAAAGACAACTCCTGCCAAGAAAACACCCACTGCTGCTGCCGCTGCGCCTACACCCGCTGCTGCTACGGCGTCTCGTTCCCCCGATACGTCGTCTCGCAAGCAACAAAAAGAACCCGGATACAAGGAGCGGGCTCGAATGGCCATGAAAAAGGATTCGTCCGCACAACCCAAGAAAGCAACACCCGCCAAAAAAGCCGCCACACCACCACGTCCTGCTGCAGCTGCTCCCAAACGAACTGCCTCACCAGCCGCACGAAGCACACAGGCCTATCGAACTCGCCGCACACCCGCCAAGAATGAGGAGGTGGAGGAACCAGCCGAAGACACACTTCCAAAACCTCCCACTCGGTTCCCCAAAACGGCAACTCCTGAAACACAAGCGCCAGCAGCAGCAGCAGACACTGGAGGACCTGCATTCCGGCCGGCGCCTGTTGTGGAAGACCCTCCTCGACCAGAAGGCACGGTGGACGACGATCGCCATGACGATGAAGTGGACGACGAAGAAGAAGTCCATGTCAAGTACGAAGACGAAAATCACCATGATGATGACGTCCAAGTCGAATATGACGACGACGATGTCCAAGTCGAGTACGAAGATGATGAGACTATGACTTGGCAGGAACGATGGGAAACTCTTCAGCCACTCCTTCGAAAGCTCTTTTTGGTACTGGGAGTTCCTTTGCTGGCCCTGGCTGTTCTCATTTTTGGGGTTGGACGATACAACCCCAAGTCGCAAATGTGGATGATTGTAGGACATACTCGTCGACACTGTTCCACCCACACTGTCATTTTCGGATCGCCTTGTCGTGCCACGGATCCATCCAATCCGTACATTGTCACGGACGCCATTGACTTGGGATCGGTATTGCAGCAACAACAGCGCTGTTACCATGACTCGCCACAACATGTTCTAGCCCTCTTGGATCACGATGATGCCCACCAGAATAATGCTCCCGCCAAAATGACTGACCAGCATTGTCCCAATGGGTTCATTCAGTGTCCATCCAATGCCATTTGCTACAACGGTCATCTTTTGGATTGTCTAGCTCCTGCGTGGGTCATGTACGACAACAAGAATGACAACGACAACAAGAAACCTCCGCTCTGTGTCTTGAGCCAAGCCGTCAACAACACGTACATGGACCTCGTCAGTTTGATTGAAACTTGGTCGGTACAGCATTTGTGCATGATACGCACCGAAGGGCCCGTGCCGCAATCCTTTTACATGCAACAGCAGCCAAGCAGCTCTAAGGAAGCCTCGGTCGTTGTCAAGGCAGACGAT